TTCAGTGGCCACCTGTTATGTTAATCAGCTTTTCACTCCTGTTGTGCTCATGAATATTTACCCATTCATTATTAACAGTCCCGGCTTGTTAATCTATTGATAAAACAGTACCGTTAACAAGAATGCATAATTAATTAGGTTGAAACTGTCCGCTAACGAAAGTAAGAAACATAGAACAATGGGGACGAGACAAAAAGTAGTACAACAAGTTTTAAAAGTCTTAGAATGTATATATTCTATTTTAACCTAATTATACGACGTTGTACAAAGCGTCATGGCTGGAATCGTGTTATTTTGATTTTTACTTTGAATTTTGAGGACATAGCAGGTGATTATGGATATAGAAGAGTATGGTACTTGCGGTCTACCGCAAACTATCCATCCACAATAAATAAGTGAAACACTAGAATTCCCTGATGTGTATAAACTGTCGCCACAACAAAAGAATCGATTATATCATTATACGAAGACACTTATTCGCGTATTACTGCAAAACTACAAGAAATTCTATGCTGTGAACTCAATGCTAATTGCTAATTTCAAACTGTAAAGTTAATTTAATTGTAATTGTTAGCGTTTTCACAACAATATATCAAGCTGACATTCTACAAGTTGATATTTGCGAATGAAGTTGTTGCCTGAATTTCGACACAACTTACATTGAAATCTGGGGTAACCCTTACAAAATTATACTCACAGAAAAATAAATGCTCCCTTGATAGTAACGTTTACAGATTTGCGTTCCCCCAAAGCCCTCCTATTTAAAACAAGCATTATATCAGCTGAGATAGCTCCGCTGTTAGCAATACACATTACAATTAGAGAATTGATATCATTAGAAAATGAACAAATCTGAGAGGTCCACCTGTAATACCTTTATTTATAGTATCAAATCAATCAGATTTTCGGTTTTTAACAAGAAGTCAAAAATATCATTTTCTTATAAAAAATGACAACAAAATTAGAGAATTAAATATATCATCACCATGTATCAAAACAATCAGAATTGTAGTTTTCAAGAAGTAAAAAGTTGACGCGGACGACGACGGAAAATCACTCAAATGATAAACCTCGCTTGACAAAGTCATCATTTTATATATATACCTTCATATTAAGTGTGATATGCATGATCACAACAATATTTTTGGGTCACAGACTTGACTAATTTAAATAACTATATATGTGGTCCTCACTGGAATAACTATTATTGTGTATATATTATGTGTATTTATATACACAGTATTTATTTTCTGGTGAAATAAACAATACAATGCATTGTCATAAATATGCTCGATGAATAAATTGGGAACTTGTACAGCGTCCTCTAGTGGTAATTCGCCGTCCTCAGGCGGGGCACGCCCAAATTGTGTGTTATTGAGAATGTGTATACTATTATTACAATCCATGCCACTATAAATAAGTCAGAAATTTTTCATACATGATCACTGCTTATGTGTTTCTGTTAAAAGAATTACCACCACCAGAGGAAAATGTACAGCGAGAGTGTTATACTCGCCCCTGTCTGCGGTGTGATTATTTCTATTTTATTATACCAACCTCACTTTAAAGATAAATCTGAAAATTATAAATAACTATAAAGCACTGAAACCATTTTCAATAGTGATACTGCACCCAAAACGATCTACTTGCGGTGGCGCAAATTCGTAGTTCATTGTTAGCAGCAGCGTTTATATCATATGTAAATCGTCTCAATCGATATAATTAAAAAAACAGATGCCGATTAGCGTTTTGGGAATCGACAACACTTCCGGACTTACGACGGCAATAGTTTAATAGTATTATTATTATTATTATTTTGAGTCGATGCGTGATTGTGAAAAATTATTTTTCACACACTTCTCTTTCAAACCAAAATACCCAATTTGTTTATGTCCGTGACACAAAATATTACTATCGCTGATTTCATTTGACAAAAAGATTTAACCCTACTGTGTGTTATTCACGTTTGAGGCCTACGTTTAAACACGAAATCCCGTGGTATGTCGTATTTTTATTTAACCATGTCTTACATAATCAAAAACACGCTCTCGACCAATCAAGACGACGTGTTCAAGCAAATAAATATAAAATAATTTTGGATAAATATGCGTATCACTATCTTTTAGTACTATATTAATTTATTAACACGAAACACGTCCCCACTAAATAACTGTGATCAGATTAAATTCAAAAATAGATCTTCCACAAACTTGCGACACTGAAGGCAGTTCTGACAAAACACAGAATTGACCTTGACCTTGTGTTGTTCTGTTCGATTATTTGATGGCATTCGTGAGGGCACTGAATGTTCCTATACTGACTTGTCTAACGAACCTAATGGATGTATAGGATGTTGACTGCTTCAACATTTGTTTGACTCACAATTGGTTTAAATTATTTATCGCGGAAGAGTACATCGCGTGGTTATGCAGTTAGTCGTCTAGTTTAATAATGAGTAGGCGCACCATTTATTATCATAAAGAAAAAACACAGCTGTCTAGACAGAGTCGCCGTGAACCTAGCGATCACGTTTCCAAGCCTTAGACGTGAGCCAATGCACAAAACAATGCACGACTGTGTGTAGCTCTCATTACTACATGCAAACTGTCAACATTTCGGTATGAATCATTCGTCTTGGTTCAGCAGCGTACGCATGGAGTGCAGTAGAAAGAATGTGATGTGTACTTCTGTGCTTGTCATCTTCTCTCTGATCGTAATCAAAAGTGCGGTGTTCATGCAGTCTTCATATGGTGACGTGTCTTATTTTCGGTAAGTTCAACATCATATTTAAGTCATACATTTGAGTATAGCACCGTATCTAACTTATGGCGAGCCCTCATGTCAGTGTTTTTAAACCAGCATAATGCTTCGTAATACGTAATTGAGTTGTTCATTCATTTTTCATCTTGGTCGTAACTACAGTCAACTGTCGTACTAGTGATAATGAAATGAATGTAAATTCCAATGTTTACTATATGGGGGCAGCCATCTTGAATATGACATGAAAGTGTCCCTTTCTTTAGTTTCAAGTCGTATTAAGTATCTGTGGATTAATCGCATTTATTTTATTATCACGAGTGCGCTAGCTGACTGTGGTTGTAACATGGGCGTATTCCAAACCGTTAGTGTTGAATAACACATTGATATTTAGGTGCATTTTACGTAAATTTGGGATTTTACCTTATGCGTAGATATAATGAAAAGTAGCCCATACTAACAACCGATGATCAATGACATTGTTATATGTTTATTATTTAAAGTCTTAAAGCATGTGTGGGTCATGAGCATAATTATCCGGTCACTTATCATTGACAGATAAGAATTCAGTAAAACCCGGTTCAGGATCGGTTTATCGATCAATTACGTGAAAATGTACGAGATGGAATGTATCAGCTCGAGACAACAGTGATAAATTAATCACACAATCAATTGAAATACACACACTGTCAAGGATATTAATACTAAAACAATGTTTGCCAGTGTGAGTAGGCTACCATTCAAGAACCAGAGTTGTACGACGGTGCTTAACGTTAACTTTAAAGATCAGGCAGTTACATCGCGCGCAGTGTTACCTCATAGCAACGTGGCTCAAATGATTTCCCTTTTTCCAACTATACTACATTCTCCCATGATATTTGATTTCAATTACATAAAAAACAAGAAATAAACAAGAGATTATATGCAAGTCTACTGTTGCCCCTCTATCAGTCACAATGACTGAGGTTTATAACAATTCATTCTCGGCCTCGATTTTCGGCAGTTAAATATCTCATTCACTAGATGCATTAAAAAACGGGACACCACCGAACACCACCCACTATATAAATCCTTTGAATGAGCTTTATATGTAATATAATGTTGGCCTGAACAATATTTATCGATGAGGTAAAATATTATTATTTTTTTTAGAATTTGAGGGTTAGTAACTAGGGATGATGAAAAACCATCCGAAATGTTTTGTGTTCCCCTTTTCAAAGGCCTTGGGTCTATATGACATGTACTTTGAAGCTCCGAGTTATCACAGTTATGAACTATTACGACATAATATCACGTATTTGTAAAATGTCGCATTTTTGGAGGTCAAGCGATTTTTTTGAAAGAAGCTAATAAAAATGTATGCTGATCCTATATCTCAATTTTTCAAATAATTTTCAAGCGTAGATATGATATTCAGCACGAATTAGTATATGTTAGACTAGCATACCGTCACTTGTACCTTAGTGCATGCGTGTTTTCGGGCCACCTTTGTGTAGATGCGTTTATCCTCATCGACTTTGCTCGCATACACACACTGTTCCAACCCCTCATGCTACCCCTCTCCACCTCGAATGGATTGTGCCATCATGGTCGTACGTGGTAATTTTATCCTGACCGTGAGGTTAAAATTGACAGAATCGACGACGACAACGAATCTTCACACGATTTACTACACGGGTCGGGTCGGCCATTTAAACTGGGTCGTATTCTGGCTACTCATTCTATTTAATAAGTATTTCTATACGTGAATGCACACTTTTGGAATGTACACAGCATTTACAAATTGTTTGAGAGCATTTACAATTTCAGCTGCGAAATTCGATATTGTGAAATGGTTTCAATCGTGGCTTGTTTTAATGAGGGTCACCGTGTCAAGCTGGATAATATCAGGGGTGGACCAATTAAAACTCTGAAGGGTAGGTAGCTCGTGAAATAGTGAAAACGTTGGTTAATGAACCGCTAGAAACAAACCCATGCTGGCTGTTGTCCACGGAGCTGGCCACAATACTTTGTATACCTTACGTATTGTATTCTGGCCGATATTTGTTACACAAATGTCACTAAGTTCGTTTTTATAGTTTCCTTATTATAGTCTTTCTGTGGATAACGTAAGATTAACAAGTAACACCCTAAGCCATGAGTGAAATCTGCCGTATATTTATATTAGTCTTAATGGAATACTTGAGCACCCTGAACGAGTAATGTCAACATGATTCCATATACATGCCAAACACTTAGCGATGGGCGCCTTTCACGTTTAGTGACTTTCACGAAACATATTTTTACAATTTTTAATTGGCTTTTTAATTCCCTACCGTCAAACTTTTTACTATGCTAGGCATAGTAGATGGCAGTGTTGGTTATTGGAATTAATACGTTCGAATTGATTTACCGTGTCTCCACATGATCCGCACTGATCTTCACGACGCTATCTATCAGCAATCTGCAATTCATAACCCCCTCCCGAGAGTTATAATATGCCCCATCTGTATATACTCACTTGTCGGTGTCTGACGGGCATAATATACAAAACACAACAAGGAAAACGTCAGATAATCAAAAGAAAGGTGAAGGTGTGTGGGCTTCTGACATTATATTTGCTGAGTAAGTCACTGTTCTTTCATGTTATAAAACGGGAGAATTCAAACATGTGAGCAATACGGAAGCCTCTGTGTTCATTTATTTTTATAATTTTGAGATGATGACTGTTCACAGAGTTGAATGCAGTCAATTCTTTCACTGGCTCCAAGGGAATGTGCATCCGTCTGAATGTCACTGGCAATAAATCTCACAAAATTCTTGAGAATACTTAGAATGGCTTTGAACATTAACAAATTGGTGTGACTGGAAACAATACAATTGGCTAACAGTAATAATAAAATACATTTATGAACAAACAAGTTTAACAGATACTGACACTCTTTTCAAAATAAGTCATTTTCTGTTACCGTTCACAAAATAATACACATATTTGTTTTGTTTTCTAACATTTTGATCAAGATCTGAATACATTTAGTAAAAAATGATATTATTATTTTTTTAAACAATAAATATGTAAAATATTGACTGGTTTATTCTAGATATGCCAATTTATTCAACATTTGCCGGTTGTGGGTGTAAACTGGCTTCCAAATGGTGAATAATTGTTTTGTAAAACCGAACTAAGTATAATCCGACCCACCCAAGTCAGTTTCATCGTGGCGGGTTGCTCCGGAAAGAATCACAAAGTTTATACATCTTGAATGCACAATGAATATGTGCGCTACCTTAATACTATTGTGGTCGCCAATTCGGTAATCAATTACTTGCACCATGTTGTTGAACTTAAAATTCTCTGCCTGAAATCAAAATTCTTTGAGTGTTTCCGTACAGAACACGATATGCTGTGAAAGTAGGAAGCTTTATGCCGCATTAGTAATCTAGGTATGTGCAACAAACCGGCAATAAATTACGCGTATTTCAGATGAGAGGAAATTGCATGTACCGTACTGCGCAAGAGTAATTATTCCAACATTTGTAGATATCAACGTTATTAAGTTCAATGTTCACCAGAATCTGAACATCCTTCTCTATTCTGGTATGATAATTAGTACAACGGATGAGTCACGGATTCTTCAGCGCTGGCATTTCTGACTGCTTACACGACTCCGCGTAGTAATATACTTCGCATAACAGTGTGAAACGGATAGTATGGGTATGTGTACTGAAAATCAGGTCATGAGAAATAGATCCAGCTACTTGAACTTGGCGTCAGGTGACGGGATTGATTTGTGACTGCACTTGAATCTTTAAATGTAATGACGTTACATTTATTAAAATGCTGATCATTTCGTTGGAACAAAAAAAAACACGGGATAGGATTCCCTTCACGTCGGCGCCGATGTTGATCAGTGATGTGCAAAGCGTGAGTGACTTGACTGTACGTTGTATTCAAAGATACATACATTAATACGATGCAATGCGATTGTCAGTTCTTTCTGTCCTCGGGGAGTAGGAAGTCTCTTGTTTTTATTTTACTGATTAATAGATGATATAGGGTGATTTCGACTTAGAAGTCGAATATTTATAACATTCGGAACATTAAGCTCCGCCAATCCCATGGGAGATAAATGTCAGTCTTTCAAAGTGAGTTATCAGCTCAATATGTTTTGTTAATAAGTATGTAGGTACCATAGTAGTTGTCATGGCAACAGCCATCTAAACTACCATGGGTCGTGATATGGCAAGAACATTATGGGAACACCAAGAACCATGGCAAATGGATAATATATAATCATACATAATAATATCAACTTCGTTCTATGGATTCTACAAAACATCGGATCTATTTCGACCGTGGGGTCGTTTGTTGGTATTTTGAATGGGGTATTGGAAGGTTTTCAAAAGTGTTACAAATTACTTAGTACAACCATAGAGGTAAAAGACAGAAGGAGTTAACTCTGGTTTAAGATCAAAGCACGGTTACTAGTAACCGTGATCAAACGTTGCATGATCATTTCCGCCGTTGTATAAGTAAATTATAATGTGTTCTTGTTAATCTAGCAGCAAACAACAAGATATCTACAGATAAGGCGAATTAACATACTGTAGAACAGGAAATTTTCACGCAATGACATTTTTGCGTGAAAGCAAATTTCGTCTAATTCGCGCATTTCCTTGTTCGCGTTTTCTTTGCAGATGATTTATTTCAACTTTGACCTTTCATTTATACGTGATTATAAATAAATTTAAAACATAATCTTAACAAATAAGAACAAGGAGTTTTTATTATTCAATGTCTGTTATCTATCTCACACATTAAATCGAACGTTACACTTCCACTAGCCAACACATATCCGAGGTGTCATTAAATAAATGTCGATAAACAGATTGGGTCAACCAGGTATGAACTGGTGACGTCGAGAAGACGAAGCATAGAGTACAATGGTTGTCCCTGGGCGTTGACCAAACGGCCAAGCCCAGAGAGCAAAAACAGTGAAGTCAGGGATATATGTGTGTGAGTCTGTATGTCC